AGGAATGCTGGCGGCTGTCTTCAAGGCTGCCATTGGGGTGCGGGTCGGGGGACAGTAACAGGGGAAGTAAAATGCCACAGACTCTCTTACTGAAATGCAGCAGTTCTTTTCTTCATTAAGCATTTCCCCTAGCTGCCACAAGTTTATTACATTCTAGAGTTCCCAAAAAGTTGATTCTGACAGTTTTTGCCAGCTTATTGACTTTGAATGTGTGTGAGGGGACAGGGTTGTGGATTTTGATGGTCCTCTTTCCTACAAGTCACGCCACTTAATCAACCACCATCATCGTTGTATCAACCACTATAACTGGTCCCTTCTTCCCAGGCCAGGAATAGGCTTTGTTGAATAATAAGCAGGCACTGTTGAAGGTAAGAAAATGCTTCTTTCTCAAGAGGTCACAATCTATGACAAGAGGCTCCTATGTTTAGAGAGTCAAAACTTCTTTCCTCTTGCTTCTGTCCCAAGCTCTTCTGTTTACAAATATCTTAAAACTGATTCTCATACCCCCAACCCCATTTCCTTAAAATATTTTACTTAGTTTTCCTTTCAATTATCTCTTCCATTTCTTCCCAACCAGCCAAAGAACAGAAATTATTTCTAAATACTGTTTGGCTATTTAAAGCAGGAATACCACTACTATATCATTAAAAAGAAAAGAAACAAAATATTTCCTACAGGTCACTGGAAAAGTCTCTTCAATTTCCATAACACAATTTCCTGGCTTCCTGCCTCTTCTACTACTATTAGGAAAATTCCTTTTGGTATGGTTCTGGTTATCAACTACAGTGCCACAGGTTTATTAATGTGAAGGACCTCCAGAACTGTTCACAGGGAGTTGAGCATTTGATGGGGTATCATGGCAGACCCACTGAAGATAATGAAAAATATTTGTTAAATGTACACTGATTTATAGAAGCAAGTGACCTTTACTGAGAAGAAAAGAATCTGAAGTTCTTAACATTAATAGCTACAAGTTAAGTGTAACAATACAGTCATACCTCATTTTCTGACATCATCCCTGGAGTAAGCTGGGGACCCGTTCCTAAGGAAATGACCAACACCTCTTCTGGCTGCACTTCCTGGATGGTTTCTTGAGCTGATCCTTCATGGTCCATATGTAAGTCCATCAGAACATTGGTGCGGCTTCTGCTCCGAGTTGCTAATAAAAAAATTTCAAGTAAGATAATTTAGAGAAAAAGACAAAATGAAGAAAATGGCACATTAATACAAAAATATATTTTCTATTAATGTAGAACATTTGCACATGCACAAAAAAAAGAGTGGTGAGAATATGAATTAAAAAAAACAAACAAACCCATATCTTCCCAGCTACTCTACTAATGACTAATACAAATTCTCCTTCAAAACTGATCAACAGAAACAATGATCCATGTTCACCTGACAGGGAGTGACACAGTTTACACCTGCAGAACAGCAAACATGTCCCAATCAATTTAAGACTTGGGAGTGACAAGAAAAGCATTACTTTATTCCTTATCTTTTCAAGGTATAATATCTTCAACTATTTCTCCAACAAAATGATTTAACTGCCACAGGTCTCCCATACTAATAACTAAACTTAAAAGCATTAGAAAATTTCATATAGAAATCTGATAGCCATAAAAAGTGATACACGTCGGCAACTCCTGACAAAACCAGAATCAGTTTTTGAAAACACAGTTTTTCCTGAAATGTATTAACCTCTTCCAAAAGATGCAGAAGAGTTCTCTTTGTTTGAATATAAGTTTCCTTTCTGCTTTATGGGAACATTCTAAATTAATGAAGGATCTAATTACTTGGGGGTGTTTTCCCCCTACTTATAAGTAAATAAGTAATACCTTTTTCTAAAGTAATCTATCCTATAGATCTTACAAGAACTTTTGTTTTTGGTGGGTTTTTGTGTTTGTTTGTTTTGTTTTCTGGCTGCACTGAGCGGCCTGTGGGATCTTAGTTTCCCAACCAAGGATCGAACCCGGGCCCTCGGTAGTGAAAGCACAGAGTCCCAACCACTGGACTGCCAGGGAATTCCCTTACAAGAATTTTTGGAAACTGAAAGATTTAGATAGTTTGTGACAATTTCTCTATGAATTTTAGACTTCTGTGGTAAGTGTCAGGTTTTTTTCAGAGGACAATAAGATTCAATACAACCAGAATACTAAATAGATACTCCTTCAGGGCAAATAAAAGTGCAGACATGAATCACAAACACTCAATTATAATAAAAGTCTTTCAACTTCAGTTTCGGTGAAAGCTGACCTACTTGAAGATGGAACTATAAACAATCATGTTCTCTCCACAATGCTGTAGATCAGTTCATCAATCACTCTTACTTTCAAAATTCAAAGCACACATCAACTTCCAAAAGTCTAAAACAGGTTTACTTACACCTTTCTTTGCTGACCCTCACTGTCTTCTCTTGAATTGTAAACTTAACTTCAACTTTATGAACAACTACGTGAATCTTAAGGAACAAACTTTATAATTTATAAAAATGCAAGTAATCAAAATTCATGTACCAATTTACATAAAGCAAAAGCAACATGCACATGGAGCAAAAGTTCATAAACTATTTCTTAAATAAAAGTTACATAAGAAAAGGAACAGCCTATTACCCACCAAAAGGGGTTACTAGAGTAGTATGAGCAGTAAGATTGGTGGCTAAGGAATCCCAGGCAGTTATGGCTGCGAACTGTTGTCCTGGGTTGCGAAAGCATTGAACAGAAAGAAAATCAATCCTCTGAATAATGGACACATCTTTTAAAATATGAAATCAGTTCAATGACCAGGTCACATGACTATACAAAATAATACTGGACAAACATTTGAAATTTACTTTCCATTATACTCTTATTTAATGAATGACACTCTGGATGAAAAGCAACGAAAGAACACGAGTGAATCATGGAAAAAAAAATCTCTGGTTTACCAAAAAGCATTTATTTCTTCATGTTAAAAAAGTGCTAATAGCCTATAATATTAAAAATCATTCAATGTCAAGTTTATTTTTTTTTCTATTTATAATTCTGAAAATTGACGTTTTGAGATGATGAAAGCCAAAGACTTGAAGAATATGATGCCACATTCCTGTTGATAATATTATTCCATATTATGTTAAAAGTAAGGTAGATTAATTTTAAGAAACTGACAATCCTTAACAAATCAGCTCATAGAATTTAAAAATGAAATCCCATTCTTCAGAATGTATAAAATATAGGGCTTTCCCTGGTGGCGCAGTGGTTGAGAGTCCGCCTGCCGATGCAGGGGACACTGGTTCGTGCCCCGGTCCGGGAGGATCCCACATGCCGCGGAGCGGCTGGGCCCATGAGCCATGGCCGCTGAGCCTGTGGGTCCGGAGCCTGTGCTCCACAATGGGATAGGCCACAACAGTGAGAGGCCCACATACCGCAAAAAAAAAAAAAAGAATGTATAAAATATAATAACTATTCATGCTCACTAACTGCTGCTGAGCTCCTCATGACCGTTAAAAAGTTGGCACTAAAATATTCTGATCCCTTGGTCTAAACACTCTCTCTGTGTCTTGTTTACTTTGTCTAACTTCCATTCATCCTCCAAGAGAAAGTGCAGCCTTCACCTACTCCCGGATCTTCTCCTGACAGCATCACCACACCGCTAAGTTAGGTGTCCCCATAACCCTCTATGCTTATCTCCATCAGACACTCAGTACACTGAAGGGTACTGGTCTCTCCTCATTCTCCCCAACTGGACTATCAGGAACTAACCTAAGTGTAAGGGCCTGACTTAAGGGTCTTTGTATCACCAGTGTTGAACACAGTGCCCCGCCTGCAGGACAGTGATCAGACCACTTTTTGTGTTGATTTTTTGCATGAATTAAATGTGAAAGAACATTTACAAAATGCTTACCCTGTGCCTGGTACATAGTATACATATGCTCAATTTGTTTGTGGATTTATATAGATATTATTACAGATTATATAGATTTATTATGGATAAATGTTTACCAAGGAAATAAGGCTTAATTAAACCTATTTCTTAAAATTGACAAAACAGAAGTTTTGCCTTATTTTATAAAATAACAAAGATCTTAACTCAGTCAATAAAAGACTGGCTATTAATAATAATGAAAAAATAGTAACTATATATTTTCAACTTTACTGATAGAAATTTCTAAAATAATATTATTTTATTATATTATTTAGAACTCTATGGAAAGAACAAGGCTACATAATTCAAATGATGACAATACATAATTCAAATGATGACTTACAGTAAACAAAGTATACTGCAAGTGGCATGATTCCAGTTAATTATGACAAGTATGTCTAGATAAAGCTAAAGCCTGGGCTTTCCTGGTGGTGCAGTGGTTAAGAATCCACCTGCCAATGCAGGGGACACAGGTTCGATCCCTGGTCCGGGAAGATCCCACATGCCGTGGAGCAACTAAGCCCCTGCGCCACAACTACTGAGCCTGCGCTCTTGAGCCTGTGAGCCACAACTACTGAAGCCCACGTGCCACAACTACTGAAGCCCACGTGCCTAGAGCCCATGCTCCGCAACAAGAGAAGCCACTGCGATTAGAAGCCCGCCACCGCAATGAATAGCCCCCACTCGCTGCAAATAGAGAAAGCCTGCGCGCAGCAATGAAGGCCCAACTCAGCCAAAAATCAATCAATCAATCAATTTATTTAAAAAAAAAAAAAAGCTTAAGCCTACAATGAACCTTAACTAATCTGGTGCAATTTTTTTTTTTTTAATTTTAAAAGTTGAATTAGGGCTTCCAGGGTGGCACAGTGGTTAAGAATCCGCCTGCCAATAGAGGGGACATGGGTTCGAGTCCTAGTCTGGGAAGATCCCACATGCCACAGAGCAACTAAGCCTGTGCACCACAACTACTGAGCCTGCGCTCTAGGGCCTGTGAGTCACAACTACTGAGCCTGCATACCACAACTACTGAAGCCCACACACCTAGAGCCCGTGCTCCACAACAAGAGAAGCCACCGCACTGAAGAGTGGCCCCCGCTCATCGCAACTAGAGAAAGCCCTCATGCAGCAACAAAGACCCAAGGCAGCCAAAAAAAAATTGAACTACCACCAGTAAAAATGAAGAGAAGAACTTCTCCAAATTATTTAAAACTATATTCCCAAATGCTAAGCAATAACAAAGGCTAAGAAAGAAATATTAAATTTAAAGGAAAGCCTCAATATGAGAAATTCTCTTTACCTATAGGCAATCGATTCTTTTTATTTGCTGGAGTGGTTGCTGGAGACAGCTGAGGAGTACTGTAGGGAGTCATTTCCAAACTGCTGCTTTTTCCTGGCTTTGCCTGGGGTAGGTTTGCCAATAAATTGTCAAGAGCCATTCTATCTTCTCTCAGCTGATCTCCAGACATCACACTCTTCATAAAATTCACCTGGCAAAAGTAAAAGGACATTTAGCTTATGAAATCAATTTTTCAAACACAATATATATTTCTCACACAATGTACTCATCTAGGACTCTGCCCATGTTCAGATAAATGACTTTTGAGAAAGTCCTATTAAAGAATAAAGCCATTACCAGAGTAATAAGCTGACTGTAGGTTATATAAACTACAGTTCTGCTCAACCCTTCCAGAAGATTAACAGAGGACATTGGCGGGGTCTCCACTGCACGGCCTCCAATCACCACATCAAGGAAAGCAGCAACACAGCTCTGTTCAAACAGGAGAAAAAAAATCACAGTGAAATACTTCCTCTTTAAAGTAAGGGAACAGGGACTTCCCTGGTGGCACAGTGGTTAAGAATCCACCTGCCAATGCAGGGGACATGGGTGTGAGCCCTGGTCTGGGAAGGTCCCACATGCTGTGGAGCAACTAAGCCCGTGCACCACAACTACTGAGCCTGCAAGCCACAACTACTGAGCCCACGTGCCACAACTACTGAAGCCCGTGCGCCTACAGCCCATGCTCCGCAACGAGAGAAGCCACCACATTGAGAAGCCCGCGCACCACAATGAAGAGTAGCCCCTGCTTGCCGCAACTAGAGAAAGCCTGTGTGCAGCACCCAAGACCCAATGCAGCCAAAAATAAATAAATAAATAAATTTATTAAAAATAAATAAATAAAGGGAATAAAATTTCTGATTGAGGTGGACAAGAATGTAGAAAGTTTTTCTTCCTGAAAATTATATTAAACCCAACATTTAAAAAAATTAAACTCTCTATGAACTGATGTAAAATAATCTCCAAGATATTCTGGTATATGAAACAAACACGAGGCAGACAGTGCACACAATCCTACCATTCGTAATTAGGAAAATATATTAGGAATTTGCTTGTATACATACAGACTTCTTGAAGGACACACAAAAGATTGATAACATGAAGAACATTTAGGGAGGAAATGAAGGTTAGAGATCAGAAGTGGAAGGGAAACTTCACTATCTAACCTTTGAATTTTAGTGAATGTACAGCCTACTCAAAGTATGATAAATTAAATTTTTTTATTTTTTTAAATATTTATTTATTTGGCTGCGCCAGGTCTTTAGTTGCAGCGTGCAGAATCTTCACTGTGGCGTGTGGGATCTTCTAGTTGCAGCATGTGAGATCTTTAGTTGTGGCATGCATGCAGGATCTAGTTCCCCCACCAGGGATCAAACCCAGGCCCCCTGCATTGGGAGCGTGGAGTCTTAACCACCGGACCACCAGGGAAGTCCCTTAAATTTTTATTCAGTTATACCAACTGAACAATGCTATGTTAACTTATGAAATACACTTAAAATTATACATTTATTGCTGATTCATATATTCACAGACTTGATTTAGTGACAATATTTTTAAATCAAACTTTTTTTTTTTAATTTTATTTATTTTTTGGCTACGTTGGGTCTTCGTTGCTGCACGCAGGCTTTCTCTAGTTGTGGTGAGCCGGGGCTACTCTTCATTGCAGTGCGCGGGCTTCTCATTGCGGTGGCTTCCCCTGCTGTGGAGCATGGGCTCCAGGTGCGCGGGCTTCAGTAGTTGTGGTGCATGGGCTTAGTTGCTCCGCAGCATGTGGGATCTTCCCGGACCAGGGCTCGAACCCATGTGCCCTGCATTGGCAGGTGGATTCTTAACCACTGCACCACCAGGGAAGGCCCTAAATCAAACTTTTAAAAATAATCTTAATAGCTCTTTGGCTCTCATTACAATGGCATCTCCTCAACATTTCTATAAGTGAGAATTAGTAATCTTTTTTTTTAATTGAAGTATAATTGGTATTTATAGATATATTTTTTGAGAATTAGTAGTCTTTGATGACATCTTCCTTTATTTTCTTAATTAATTTTTATTGGAGTATAGTTGCTTTACAATGCTTTGTTCGTTTCTGCTGTACAGCAAAGTGAATCTGCTATACAGATGACATCTTCCTTTAAATGCTGCTGATCCAACACTGTATCCTCTATAGCCAAACCAAGGGTAATTGAAAAGAATATTTAATTTACACATCACCTAGGGACAAGATTTAATAAGGAAAATAGTTAGGTTCACTAATACTTTAGCAGAACCTTCTGTAAAGAGTACTTCACGTGACACAGTATTCACTCTTACTTTGTCAAATTTTCCAAGGCTGCTCTTTGTCCGGGGATCTCCCTCTTCGGAGCCAGTCATTGCTAATTGCTGCAAAAGGCGGCCAACCTGCAAACCCAGAGCAGAGGTGGGAAGACATAGGCTGTAGACACTTACACAGTCCTCACTGTGAAAGCACTTCCATTCCATTCCATAAATCTATTTCATAAGAATATTAACACACTAAATGGATAACTAATAAGAACCTGCTGTATTAAAAAAATAAATAAAATTAAATTAAAAAAAAAAAGAATATTCACACCACCTGACCAGGCATACAAAATAGGATCCCAAATAAAATGTGCATCTTGTCTATGTCAGCTTTTACTATATTTTATTACATTTAGATTGAGTTATAAAGAATAAGTAGAAAATTTTGCTTTATCTTTAATTCATATTATTACAACATTAGGAAATGAAGGTACACACCTTTGTTTCTGCTGCTGTACTTTTCATGTGTTTAGAAATTTAATTAATTTGTAAAAGCTGACTCAAATTATCTCAAGTTATTATTAAGTATTTTTCCCTATAGTTCATAAAGTACTCAAAGTAAATTTTTTTCCTAGACTTAAAAGCAAAGAATTCCTTCAGAACATAAGCTGTTTTGAAAGTAAATATTAATTCACAGAGCCAATTCCTTATTGCCAAAAGTGAACTGTTAATCCAATCTCTCTAAAGACACTTTGCTGAAAGTTATTATCATACAGCATCATCTTCATACCTAGGACAATCCCCCCTTTTACTCATTTTGAAAAGATGTGATTCAACCTCCAATGGAATGACAAAAATAAAACTGTAACAACATTATCATAAGAATAAATTTAGTGTTTCAGAGATGATAAAAAATTTTTATTTCAGGGATGTCTAACTGATCATGAAAAAAAGCTTAACATTAAAAAAAAAGTCATCCAAAGACAAGACATATTCTATTCCAAATAAACTGTCTCTTCCTCACAGTATTTCTAGGGATAAGATATAATTAAAAGAATCCCTTAAGAAATAATAACATGATTTCAATTGTTCAGATGATTAGGGAAAAAAGCACTAACATAGATCCAAAAATCCTCTTTCTGAAACTTTTAGGTCCAGAGGAGTTTCAGATTTCAAAATTTGGAGATTTTAGAAAGGTTGGTTACTGCATACGTGTAACATGTCTAGTACTTAGGCTGGCTTCCTATAATCAGATATATTAACATTCCTGCAGCAAAACATGAATATTCATGAACATGAAATGGAATAACAATTATAAATAGCCTCATGTTAGTTCAGGTTAGGTTTTGTTACCAAATGAAATATAAAAGACACTCAATTTTCAATCATTCTGGAGTTTGAAATCATGGGAAAGGGGTAACGGCTTGCTCTAGAAAATCAAATTCAACTATGTATTCAAGTGTATGAGGACTCCATTTAAAAACCAACACAATGTAAGAAGCAAATATTTAGGACAGTTTGGGGAAAAGCAATGGTAAGAATATATGAATAATGTCATCATATTTTCTGTTCCCATTCCCACTGCCCAATCAACTGACTTTAAACTGAATGCCTAGCAAAAGCATACCTGCATCAGATTAAATCTTGCCACCTCATTAATAGGAGCATCAGAAATTATTCCATACTGTTCTGGATTGACAACCGCAGGACAAATGAAGCAGGCCAACAGGAGGTCAGTACACATTGCTCTGACCTCCCCAACTTCCAGTCTATCTACACAGGAGAGAGTTTTGTACATCTGTGACACAATCCATCTCAAACTATGTGGAAAGCAGTATGTGTTCTGTTTGAGATAACCAATAAATTTGTTCACCAAAGCCACCAGCTTGGCCTCGTTGGAATCCACCATCTCTTGAACCTTTTGCCTGAATCTATCTGAGCCTTTCTCTCCAAAGAGCTTTTCCTGTTGAGACGGGGAGAACCTCTCAATTAGCTTGTTTGGGTCTGTTTCCAGGTGATCCTCATCTTCAACAAGCAGCTGCATGATTGGCTCATGTAAAGTTGCTGTGAGGAAAAGTTTGGCAGAAAACAGTCCTTCAGAAAAAAGTTTAAATAAGATGCTGAAGGCACAAGTTCCTCTCCTCAAAAGTCGCCTGGGGTTGTCACTTTCTTTAAGTTCAAATTCAATCAAGTATCTCAACACCTGAAGGAGGTAGCTTTCATCTTCTTGCATAATGCAGTTGCCATAGAGAGAGGTAAAAACTGTGTAAATAACACTTTGTGTGTTCTCCTGATTAAGTTTCTCTCCCGCAACCAAAGAGGAGGCAATAAGACGAGGATTTTCCCTTAATCGACTTAAGAATTCTCCATAAGCAGTCTCCTGAAATCCCAACTGCTTATACCCATCAACAAACTGTGTATCTTCCAAAATCTTGGCATGTTGGCAACATTCAGCAGGGGAAGCTTCAGCACTAAAAAACAAGCAAACAAGCAAAATAATAAAGTTAACAATAATATACTATACTAAAACATGGAAATGTGAATTGATGATAGTCATGGCAATGAGATCACTCAGAATTGCTAAAATCTTTTAGACCACCAGCATCTAAATGTGTAAAGAAAGTCATAACCAAAAAGTAGGACAAATTCTTCATATTAAGTCAGGTTCAATGAAAAGTATTGAGAAATAACCATTATTCTGACTTCTATCATTGAAGATCAGTCCTGCCTCTTTTTGAACTTCATATACATGGACTCATTCAGTATGTACTCTTCTATGTCTGCCTTCTTTTCTCGACGGTATACCACAGCACCACTATTTCTAGACTTAAAAACTGCTTCGTGATGAAGAGTGGCCCCCGCTTGCCACAACTAGAGAAAAGCCCTCGCACAGAAACGAAGACCCAACACAGCCCAAAATAAATAAAGTAATTAATTAATTAAAAAAAAAACAAAACTGCTTCTTGGAACAACAGAACAATCAGGTATTAACACAGTGAAAAATGAGGTTTCTAAAACTGAAAGGTAGATATACGATAGCAAAACATGAAAATGTATATATTAAATAATATTAGGAGAAAAGCAGAACACAAGATAATTTACTCTCTACAATAAAAAAATGTTATATAATGCCAAGATACAAAAATTAATTGGTATGGTATAAAATATGAAGGGTTAAGTTATAATTCTCTACAACTGTGCTTAGGTTAATAGGTTAATTAAGCAAAATAAGCAAAGACTCACCATTGAGATGCTGATTTAAAATATCTTAAACCATGCACTATGTTGGAAATAGATTTATTTGCAGTTAGCAATTATTAACTGCTATAAGCAGAATTATAGTGGTTTATAACATTTAAGACCTCAAAACCTTTTCTTTACCTGGTTATAATAAGCCGATCCAAATTAATTCTCTGTTGCTTAGCAATCCATGCTGTACGATACAACTTTTCAGCTGTTTTAAGTACATCTGCATTGAGCCTCTGAATGAGCTGTTTCTCAGAGTTTACATATAATCGTTCCTGCTTGAGGTGATGGGCCAGAGTATGAATATCTAGCTTCACCATCTTCAAATGTGGAGAAGGTACAAAGGCTGATCACTAAGAGTAAAAAGAAAAAATTTTTATGTCACTTAAACTGTTTTCTAAAAACCAAACGGGGTAGGAGAACACATTAAATAATACATTTAGTATCATGGTTACCTCTAGTTTTAAAATAATCTATCTCTGTATATGTTTTACAACAAGCATTATAGGTTCAGTACAGAAAAACAGGTAAATACAGGTAAGCAAAAAAAAAAAAGAAGAAAAAGAGAAAAGCTCTTAATAAGGCCAGTGCTCAGAGGCAGCCACTGTAAATACCTTGCATGTATCCTTCAAGTCCCGTGTCTACAAAAACAGAAACATAGATCAATGGAACAAGATAGAAAGCCCAGAGATAAACCCACGCACCTATGGTCAACTAATCTATGACAAAGGAGGCAAAGATATACAATGGAGAAAAGACAGCCTCTTCGATAAGTGGTGCTGGGAAAACTGGACAGCTACATGTAAAAGAATGAAATTAGAACACTTCCTAACACCATACACAAAAATAAACTCAAAATGGATTTGAGACCTAAATGTAAGACCGGACACTATAAAACTCTTAGAGGAAAACACAGGAAGAACACTCTTTGACATAAATCACAGCAAGATCTTTTTTGATCCACCTCCTAGAGTAATGGAAATAAAAACAAAAATAAACAAATGGGACCTAATGAAACTTCAAAGCTTTTGCACAGCAAAGGAAACCATAAACAAGACGAAAAGACAACCCTCAGAATGGGAGAAAATATTTGCAAACGAATCAATGGACAAAGGATTAATCTCCAAAATATACAATGAACTCATGCAGCTCAATATTAAAGAAACAAACAACCCAATCCAAAAATGGGCAGAAGACCTAAATAGACGTTTCTCCAAAGAAGAGATACAGATGGCCAAGAAGCACATGAAAAGCTGCTCAACATCACTAATTATTAGAGAAATGCAAATCAAAACTACAATGAGGTATCACCTCGCACCAGTTAGAATGGGCATCATCAGAAAATCTGCAAACAACAAATGCTGGAGAGGGTGTGGAGAAAAGGGAACCCTCTTGCACTATTGGTGGGAATGTAAATTGATACAGCCACTATGGAGAACAGTTTGGAGGTTCCTTAGAAAACTAAAAATAGAATTACCATATGATCCAGCAATCCCACTACTGCGCATATACCCAGAGAAAACCATAATTCAAAAAGACACATGCACCACAATGTTCATTGCAGCACTATTTACAACAGCCAGGTCATGGAAGCAACCTAAATGCCCATCGACAGACGAACGGATAAAGACGTTGTGGTACATATATACAATGGAATATTACTCAGCCATAAAAAGGAACAAAATTGCGTCATTTATTGAGACATGGATGGATCTAAAGACTGTCATACACAGTGAAGTAAGTCAGAAAAACACATATTGTATATTAATGTATATATGTGGAACCTAGAAAAATGGTACAGATGAACCAGTTTGCAGGGCACAAGTTGAGACACAGATGTAAAGAACAAACGTGTGGACGCCAAGGGGGGGAAACCGTGGTGGGGTGGGGATGGTGGTGTGCTGAATTGGGCGATTGGGATTGACATGTATACACTGATGTGTATGAAATTGATGACTAATAAGAACCTGCAGTATAAAAACAAACAAACAAACAAACAAACAAAAACTAATACTAACCTTTCTTTGGGTTATTTGTATGGAAATATGTTAATATAAATGTTTCAGACATTACATGAAATTTCTAAAAATCTTATATGTTCTGGTATAATGTTATAAGTCATAATTCTAGTTATTACTTTAAAATGTGTATCTCAGAAATAACTAAATTTCCTTGTCAATTGCAAAAAAAAAAAAAAAAAAAGCCCCGTGTCTATTTATCAACACTGGACTTTCCTTGCCTGCTCTCTTTCACACTGCAATCAATCAACATAGCCTGTTGACTCTTTCTTCAAAACACATCTCATCACCTCCATCATCATCTCTCATCCAAAGGTCTCTAACCACCACTTCCTAACTGAACTTCTGCTTCATTTCTTGTACTACTGGAGTATCTACATAGCATAGAACATCCTTTAAATTTAAGTCAGACCACTTCATTCCCCCACTCGAAGCTGTCCAAAGGCTTATTTTACACTTAGAATGAAATCTGAAAGTCCCACATGATCTAACCCTGCTATTCCTCCAAGCTCATCTCCTGCCATTCTAACTGCTGCTCACACAGCTCCAGACACGCTGGCCTCCTCTTGAACAGATCAAGCATGCCCCTTCCTCAAAGCCTCTGCATTTGCTGAACCCTCTCCCTGGAAGGCTATTCCTCCAGATGCCTCTGCAAGGCTGGTGCCTTTAATTCATTCAGGTCTCTGCTCAAATGTCTATTTAGAAAGGCCTTCTGAGATAAATCATTCTAAAACAGAAAATATCACTTCCTATTCCCTCTTCTGGCTTTTTTTTTTTTAAAAAAAGCACTTGTCCCAACCCAGCATGGGTTGTTGTTACATGCATGTTCATCATGCTTAAAGTATGGCTCCCCCACTGAAAGGCAAGGGCCGCCAAGGCCAAGATTTGTCTGTTTTGTCGACTTACTGCTATAATTTCAGGGCTGAGAAGGCTTGGTTCACAGCAGGAGTTGAATAAGTATTTGCCAAAGGAATGAATGAAATCACACAATTCTTGTATACCTAGTAGCTAAACAAACTGATAAAAATAGCACACGTATTTTAAAGCATTATTATTTAAGCTATATCCTTGAAGCTAAAATGCCTGCCAGACCACAAACATTTTATCTCAGCAACAGAAGCGCTTGTGGACCAAATAGCAGAATACAACATCGTGTCGAGGCGGCAGTCATTAAGTTAGAAAAATGCTTCTCATTAAGAATTAAACATTAGGGGTGGGGAAGGAAAGGACTGGGAGTTTGGGATTAGCAGATGCAAACTATTACATATAGGATGGACAAACAGGTCCTACTGTATGGCACAGGGAACTATATTCAATATCCTGTGATAAACCATAATGGAAAAGAATATGAAAAAGGATATATATATGTATAACTGAGTCACTCTGCTGTACAGCAGAAATTAAACACAACATTGTAAATCAACTATACTTCAATAAAAAAATTTTAAAAAGAATTAAACATGATTATATACTTAAAAGCTGCTATGAGAGTAAAGCTTTAAATGTTCTCACCATAGTAACAAGAAAATGGTAATTACATGAGGTGAAGGATGTGTTAACTAACCTTATTGTGGTAAACATTTTGCAATATATGTGTACCAAATCATTATTATATGACTTAAACTTACACAATGTTGTATGTCAATTATAGTTCAATAAAGCTAGGAAAAAAGTTGTCCCAGCCAATCAGATTCATAATGGACTTATTTGGAATTGATAAAATACAATTTGTAGTGAATTCAGATTCTGAAAGAGGTGACAACCTAGCTCACAGAACTCTCAATATGTTTACAGATCCAATGAAAATATGTTCATATATATGAAATAAATATTTTTGGTGCTAAGACTAAAAAAAAGAGTTAAACATATGGTAGCAGATGGAAATATATTTAAAGTCACCTTATTTAAAGAAATAGATTCAACAATTTTTAATTAAGTTTGAATTCAGAAATTAAAATTTTTTCTTTTATTTTAATGAACTACTGATGACTAGAAAAGTTTCAGATATTATCATCTAACTTGAATTTAACTGCTTTAAAAACTTTCTTGTACCTTATCAATTCCCTAGCAAACTATACAAAGCTATTATTCCAAGTCTCCTGTATTAAAACCCTCAGAGCGCTTTCCTCTCAAAAGGTTTAAATATGTCTACTTCACCAAGATGATTCACTATTAACTCACAAAAGCATCTGAGTACATTCAAAAAAATTGGTGCCATACATACATATATAGCCTTATTAACTCAGCCTAAAGAAAACACATATGACTTTGCAGACTTTCATGAGGGAATTCTAACATCCTCTAGGGAGCTCTAAATCCACAGACTAAGAACAGAATCACTGAACAAATGGTTTTAACTATGAGAAATATTATAGTTAATGAAAATAGTACTGAAATGGGCTCTTAAAGATCTGTATGCTTTGGGGACTTCCCTGGTGGTCCAGTGCAGGGCGTGCAGGTTCGATCCCTGGTCAGAGAGCTAAGATCCCACATGCCTCACAGCCAAAACCCCAAAACATAAAACAGAAGCAATACTGTAACAAATTCAATAAAGACTTTAAAAATGGTCCACATCAAAAAATCTTTTAAAAAAAGATCTGGGGGCTTCCCTGGTGGCGCAATGGTTGAGAGTCCGCCTGCCGATGCAGGGGACACAGGTTCGTGCCCCAGTCCGGGAAGATCCCACATGCTGCGGAGCGGCTGGGACCATGAGCCATGGCCGCTGAGCCTGCACGTCCAGAGCCTGTGCTCCGCAACGGGAGAGGCCACAACAGTGAGAGGCCCGCACAGTGAGAGGTGGCACAGCAGTTAAGAATCTGCCTGCCAATGCAGGGGACACGGGTTCCATCCCTGGTCTGGGAAGATCCCACATGCCGTGGAGCAACTAAGCCCATGCTCCACAACTACTGAGCCTGCGCTCTAGAGCCCGCCCACGAGCCACAACTACTGAAGCCCGCACGCCTAGAGCCCATGCTCTGCAACAAGCTACCGCATTGAGAAACACACGCACCACAACGAAGAGTAGCCCCCGCTCGCTGCAACTAGAAGAAGCCCGCGCACAGCAACGAAGACCCAACACAGCCAAAAATAAATAAATTCATTAATTAATTAAAAAAAAAAGAAACTGGGACATTGCACTGTGGGAGATGGGGAAGGAGTTTAAACGGATTAACATGATTAAATTTACATTTGAGAACATAAACTTTGGCAGTAAAGAAAAAGATGAGGTGGTTTGGATGGAACTAGATGAAGAAAGACTAAGAAATTGTTGATAGGCAAGAACCACTGGCATTTTTCACAGA